TGGACTCAGCTGTTTCCCTTCCCACCTGTTTGCTCCACCTTGAGCAAACTTTGTTTTGTTCCTCCTGCCCTTTACCATCTTCCTGGTCCCCGTCCCTGTCCTGGCTGTTGTCCTCACTCTTTGCTGTCCCCATTCCTGCTGGTCACCCAGGTTATGCATTAGGGTGCTGCCTGCGTTTCCCAAAATGCCTGAGTCTGGAGTAAACTCAGGGAGATAGGGCCTGACAAACACCTGATAAAAGCATTCCTGCCACATAGCACAGATATTTTTATCAAGCGGAGCAAAGGAGTTGAAGGGGGGAGTCAATAAGCTGCATGATGAAGGCAGCTGCTGGTGCTCATCCGGCATCAGTGTGGAAATGGGGCTGGAGCCTGTTCCTTTTGAAATGAGCTCCCACACGAGTGCATCAGCGAGATTAAGCTGTGCTTGGCATTTTTAAAATGCAGGAATGGCAGAGCATTCATTATCCCATCGGTCCTTTTCAGTGCAGCCACAAATGTCTGTATTTATCCATTTGCTGGCAGTCTGGTGGGGAAAGGCAGCTGGAGCCCGGGGCTGGCTGCTGGTGTCCAGGCTCGTGTGCGACGCTCGTGTCCTTCATTTCTATTTCTGTAGCGCTGTTTTGATGGAATGTGTAGCGATGGGAACTGTCACATCCCAGCCTGGGAATGGTCCCGGGGGAGCTGAGCTGCTCGGCAGCGCTGTCCCACGCTGGGCACTGCTTTGGAGCTCGGGAGCACTGCCACAGCGGGTGACACCCGGGCTCCTGCTGTGACACCCCGGTCCTGCTGTGACACCCCTGTCCTGCTGTGACACCCGATCCTGCTGTGACACCCCGATCCTGCTGTGACACCGCAGTCCAGCTGTGACACCCCGATCCTGCTGTGACACCCCGATCCTGCTGTGACACCCCAGTCCTGCTGTGACACCCTATCCCGCTGTGACACCCTATCCCGCTGTGACACCCCCGTCCTGCTGTGACACCCTATCCCGCTGTGACACCCCAGTCCAGCTGTGACACCCGGGCTCCTGCTGTGACACCGCAGTCCAGCTGTGACACCCTATCCCGCTGTGACACCCCCGTCCTGCTGTGACACCCCGGTCCTGCGGTGCTCTGGCAAGCAGACGGCAGAGCCGAGATGGGAGCGGGTTGGTTTCGCCTGCCTTGAAGCCCAGGGCATTGGGTGTCGCTGTTCTCGGTCCGGGCTGCGCCCGAGGTGCCCAGGCTGAAGTTCTGCCCAGGTCAGGCGAAGCAAAAGGAGCCCGGCGCTCCGGGGCAGCGGCGGGGCCCCAGCCCGGCGCTCCGGGGCCGGGAGCTCGCAGCCCTCGCAAGCCCATCCTGGGGAGCCCTCTAGCGAGAGCAGCGCCCGCCCGAGCCCGCCGGGCTCCCGGGGCCGCCGCTGTTCCCGGGACGTGTTTCGGGGCGCTGGCACACCTAGGGGTTACGCCGGGATGCTTTGGGATGCTCCCGCACCTCGGGAACGCCCGGGACGCTCCAGATGCTGCCGCACGCAGGCGATGCAGGTCCCTGACCAATGGAATAGGTTGGAATAAAACGCAGCAGCAGTAAAATGCTCGTGAAACACCTTGAACCTCCTCTCCTGGAGGAGATAAATGCTATGTGGATAAGGTGCTTATTACAGGCTGTGGGGAGATTTACACAGCAGTGAAATATGGATTTGTGTTTTTTCCGTGCGCTGATCTCTGGGCTGTCGCCACCATCCCCTGCTGTCCTCCTGCCCCATCCTGGCATTGCCTGCAGGGAGCCAGGCCCTGGTCCTGGTCCTGGCAGGGCAGTGAAAGGCCCCACTGCAGAGGAGCAGAAAGGCAGGAGTGGAAAAGAGAAATGAAACCCCACCAAAGATCTGTTTCTAAGCTAGAAAAGTCAGCACTGGCTGCTGTGCCCAGAAAAGCTTAAAAGCCAGAAATAGGTGTTCTCCTGCCTAATGAAAGGGCTGAGAGGGAAAATTCCAGGTGCATGCCTTCCTCTGGCCTGGGGCACTGCAGCTCCAAACGCGGCTGTGTGATTCCTGTTCCGCAGCGTTATTCCTTGAGCCCTTCCTGGGAACCAAGGTGCGGGGACACTGAGAGAAATTGTGCACGCTGTGCTTTTGGGGTCAGGCAGAGGCACTGCTGCCAGACAGCCAGAAGGAAATTCATCCCCGGTGTGAAGGGAAGGTCCATCTGGATGAGATCTGTTATCCCTGGATGCAGCTGGCTCCCTGCAAGGATAAACATGAAAAGCTAAGCAAGGATTTGCTTCTTTTTGCAGCTTCTGTGATGACAGAGCTCTTCTAGTTCCAAAATATTTGGGGCTCCACCTGTTCTCTGTGCAGCAGGGGCCGCTGCTGTCCCCTCCTGGAAAGTCCAGGCAGCGTGAGAAGCGTGGGTGGGATTTTAGGCAGTTCAGCACAGCCACTGCCAGAGACGTCCATGGGCTGCACATCCCCGGTCCCTGAGCCGCTGTGTGTGTGCAGGGCTTGGCACAGTGAGTCCTGTGACAGCAGTGAGGGAGGTGACAGCGGTGCCAAGGACAGCCCGTCCAGCTGCTGCCTGTGTGGGCTGCATCTCTCTGCGAGGATGGAAACTGCTGGCAGGTGTTTTAAAACAGGTCAGCATCCTCCCTGCTCTGCAGAAATGTGTTTGCTGACTGTGCCAAGCAGCGTTTGGCAGGCAGAGCCTCCAGTGTGACTGACAAAGTCAGGTTATCTCCTCGGTGGTGATTTGCAGCCAGTGCTGCTGCCAGGCTGGGTCAGGTGCCAAGCTGGAAAATGCCACTCGAGGCATTTTCTTGATTGCTCATCAGGAACAGCAGGTGGAAGCAGGCTCTGCCCCTGCACTGCTCTGGTATCTTCGTGCCCCAGGGCCCTGCAAGTCAGGAGCTCTGCAGCCGGCATGGTTCAGTCCTGCTGATCCCGTTCCTGCCGGCTCCTTCCCCGGGTGCTGGCTGGGACTGGGGCTCCTCGCTGGAGGCACAAGGACAGGTCCTGATCATTTCCTGCACTCGTGTGCCCCAGTTCCCTCCTGCTCAGCCTGTCACACGCAGCTCCTTCCCTCTGCAGCGGAGGTGGCTCGTCCCTGCTGCTGTGCCAGTGCTGCTGCTGCTCGGATGCACTCGGCTTTCTCCTTCCCCTGGCAGAGCTGCTCAGCTGCTCACGGCGGTGCCGTCACCGCTGCTGCTCCTCGGGTTCAGTGGGAGGTGGGAAGGGGAAGCGGGAGCAGGAGGAGGATGAGGTCAGGCTGCAGCGAGCTGCTGCAGCGCGGCTCATGCTGAAGATCTGATCTAAGATTCATCTGCAGAAATCGGCTCTGCCGCTTTGGAGAGGGGAAGTAGGCTGTGCTCTGCTCACGGCAGCCATGGGCAACAGGATGTTGAGCTACTGCTTTTGCTTCAGACTCATGGTTTTTGGCTAAGCTTCAATATGAGGCACAAAGTCCCCTCTTGCTCAGTGTCCTCTACACGGCAGTAAGGGATTGTGCAGGGTCCCTTGTCCCCAGGCCCTGGGGATGTGGGGGCCAACATGGTGCAGGGGCTGAGGTGTTCCCTGGGCCTCTCCTGCCACTGACCTGTGGTGGGACCTGGCAGCACCTCAGCTTTGGTTCACCCAGAGAAGTCTTTGGGGAAGCTTAGAAGTATTGTGGAAAGGAGTAAGAGATTTTCTTTTCAAGAGGATGGGCAGTAAAAGCCCACAGGAATGACACATATATCTAATAAGGACACCAACAGAGGGAAGCCTGGAGAAAGGATCCCTGCAGGGAGGTTATTTGAGATGCTCAGCGGTGAGTACTGAGCCCTTTGAAGCTTCGACAGAGGCTGGTGTCAGAGGCAACCAGACCAGATGGACAGGTCTGCTCTGGCCCGGGGCCCCTCTGTCCATGCAGAGGCATTCCCAACTCCCAGCGCTGGCTGCTGATTCACAGGGAAGCCGTGGGCTCAGCCTGCCATGGGAGCTTTGGTGTGGTCAGCGAGGGCCAGCAGCTCTTCTCTGCAGTGGGCCGGGCTGGCTTCACAGCAGGACAGTTGTCTGCCATTCCCGAGGCCATCTGCTGCTGGGACCGGGGTAAAGCAGTCAGGGTTCCAGGGAGCTGCCAATGTCCGGAGCCAGCAGTGCCACTGCCCATGGCGGATCTGCTGCCAGAGCCCTGGACATTCCTCACAGCGCTGTGGCCGCGGCATGGTGTCAGTAATGTTATCCTCCTCTCTCTAGCAAGCGTGTGGGAGGTGATGAATTTGGGAGTGGGAGCCCTTGTTAGGGGAAAAGTTCCTGAGGGAAAGTTCCCGAGGGAGGCCAGCAAGGTTGATTTCTGTGGGAACTGCTGGCTGTTCTTTTTAAACAGCAATAGTTTAATAAGTAAATAAACTTGCTGCCACGGAAGGATATAGCATCAGCCAGGGCTGTTGAGGCCAGTATTTCCTTGGAAAATGGAAAGGACAGGTGTTTCCCTCCTCTCTGCCCCTGCCTCCTGCGCTCGGCTCCTCAGCTCTGGAAAGCCCCTTTCCTTGGGCAAGGCTGCCCAGGGGGGCGAGCCTTCCCGGTGGGACCGAGTCTTCCTGGGTGAAGTGAGAATTCCTGGGAGCTGCCTGCCCCCCAGGGCAGCTCCCCGCCCGCGTGGGGTCTTCTCGGGCACGTCCAGAGTGGAAAGAATTCGTGTCCTGCCGGCTCTGTGACGGCACAGGTGCAACCAAGTAACTGCGGGATGAAGCGGCGGGGATCTGGTTTCACAGTTCCCTGCCCTCTCACGCGGGGGCTCCCTGTGGCGGCGGTGGGGCGAGGCAGGGCGCCGCGAGGGGTGACAGCGATGTGCCCGGCCCCGCCTTGGGGCAGCAATCGGCGAATTTGGGAGTTCGGATAGGAAGAGCGGCGGCCGTGCCCCCCGGCCGGGAGGGGCGGCCAGCCGGGCTGCCCCGCGTCCCTCCCCGCGGCCGGGGGCTCCGGGCGGCGGCGGGGGCGCCGGGCCGGCCCCTCCCGGCGGGCGGCGCCGGGGGCGGGCGCGGGGCGGGCGGCCCGAGCGGAGCGGAGCGGAGCGGAGCGGGGCGCGATGGGGGCGGCGGCGCGGCCGCAGTGAGCCCGGCGGGCAGCGCGGCGGGGCCGATGGCGTTCAGCGCCTGGCAGATCCTCTCGCCGGTGCAGTGGGCCCGCTGGACCTGGTCGGCGGTGCGGGGCGGGGGCAGCCCCGAGGAGGGGGACGCTGCTGCCGAGGAGGATGGTGAGGAGGAGGACCGGGACCCGCCGGCGGGGGGCTCGGCCCTCGGCTTCAGGCAAGTCGCCCGCGGCCCCTTCCCCGCCCGCCCTCCCGCGGCGCCCGCACCCATGCGGGGCTGCGGGCGCGTCCTCCCCGGCCTCTCCCCGCCGCCCCTCGCTCCCCGCTCGCTGCCTGCCTGCCGGGGATCCCGCACCGCGCCGGGCTGGGGGCCGGGGCTGCTTCCCGCAGGGTGCTGGGCGGCGCAGGGCCGGAGCGGCGGGGGATGCTGCGGGGCTGCATGTCCTTGGAGGCCCGTGCCGTGTGCTCAGCCCGGGAACGAAGCCCCGCCGCAGGGCTGGGGCGCACAGGGCGCTGCTGACGAGGATGTTTCACCTGCTCTCCCTTTTCCGTTTGCTAGCATGTCCCGCTGGACAGGAGCGAGTGGCTGCCCCGGATGCCCACGGCCAGCCTGCGGCCTGGCTGGACGTGTAGGCGCTGTGGAGGATTTCAGAGGTAGCCTTGAAAGCAGTAATTCCTCACTCTTTTCCCCCCCTCGGCAGCTCGGACTCCACTGATAATTTTGAGACCCCTGAAGCAGAAACACCAACCTGCTCGCCACTCAAGGAGTTCTGCGAGCCGCCGGGATTGCCGGAGTCTGAGGACCGGACCCAAGGTAAACAGCCAGCGTGCACCTTCTGCTCTTGGTGCTCTGCTCCGCTGCCACAAAGGCAGGGTGGCGTCAAGGAGTAAAATTCTCTGACTTTGAGTAATGCCTGGCGCACTTTTAGTGGTTAATGGCCTGGACAGTTCAAATGCCAGGGCTGGGCTGGGCGCTCCACAAAGAGCTGTGAGGGGCTGATTGGGAGGAATCCGAGGGTGCTGTTGAATTTTTGTCAGTTAAACGTTCCTCTGAGACTTCCTCTGCAGCCTGGGGGCTGCCCTGACTGCTACTGGCTGGTGGGACCTTTCTCATCCCAGGTTCTTGCCCAGGAGTGGCAGGATGCCCAGTTTGTGTCCCCCAGGCTGCTCAGTGGTAGGGATTTCATTGCACAGGCCATTTTTCCTTGGAGTTAGGTGCCAGGTGTCCTCACTGAGTAGCTGCTGTTAAAGATGCAAGAGCTCAATGCTGTTAAACCCCATTTTTTGAGAAATTGCAGGAGATCTGCTCTAACTGCATGGCATTTCCTTTGCTGGTGGGTCTTGAGCTGTTTTGCACGTTTATCCCTGTGTCCCACACTGCTGCTGCTCCCTGTTAGCCCATGGCCTTCTGAGGACCAGCTCCCTGCTGTATCCTTACCCTCCTCCTCAGGGGTTTGTGCTGGTGTCCGTGGCTGATCCTGGTGTTTATCTCTGGTTTTGTGCTGCTGGGAGGAAGCTTTGGAGCTCTGGCACTGCTGCAGCAGCTCACGGGAGGTTATCGGGGCAGGGCAGGGACGAGACCTCCCCTTGCATCTGCTCTCAGTAGGGCAGGGTGGCTGGGCAGTGGCAGGGTGTTTGTGAGCCCTGGGGTGTGTGAGCAGCCTCTCCAAGGCACAGGGCTGTTTGTGGTGGGTCAGGCAGTCCTGGACAGGCCGTCCTGAGCATTCCCTGCCCTCTCTTGCCCCTCACTGCTGCAGACCCTGGTATGTGATGTGCAATGTTGTGCAGCAGCAGTGGCTGGGAACTTTTTGTGGGGCTGGTTTCAGAGCACATGGGCTCAGTCCAGACTGTGGACCCTTCTGTGCAGAAGTCCAGGCACAGGATGCTGTGGCTCTCAATCTCCTGTGGTGTTATTCCTCTTTGGGGTGGATCTGGGGCTCATCCATCCCTGTGGAAAACTTGTGTTTGTTTGCTGTGATGGAGGGAGTGCTCTGTTCATGCTTCCAATAATCACAGCTCTTGGAATAATCCTTTTAGAAGGGATGATAGAGACATCCTTACTTTGGGGATAATGCCTAGGAAGGGGGGAAGAAATAAAGGCTTTCCTAGCAGGTAGGAAGATCATTTCTGGCACAGCTTAGGGAAGCGCATTGCCTCAGACTCCAGGGTGTCACTGTTCCCCTGTGTGCCTGTGCCCCTTGTCCTGGGATGAGCAGCTCCCGCTCAGCAGTGAGGGAGTATCTGCTCCTGCACACAAAGCTCCCAGTGTTCCAGAGACGGGGGCATGATCTCCAGCAAAAGCTGTTTTTCTGTGCTGGCTGGCAGAGAGTGGGATGCTGGGGCCAGCAGAGCCAAACTGCGGTGCCACCACACTTGGCTCCGGCCCTTCCCTGCCCCTGTCTCTGGCTGTGTCTGTTCCTCTGGGCCGGTGGAGAGAAGGATCGTCCAGGTGCAGATGGCTCTGTGCTGTGCAGAGGCTCCCTGGGCTGTTACACCACCAGTGCAAGCCGTGTGTTAAGGCCTCGTGTTTGCGTGCTGCTGCTGCACAGCCGCCCAAGCCCCTGGGTCTGGCTGCGGCCCGGGAGCAGCAGTGGCAGGGAGGCAGTCGTGGCATGGCTGCGTGTCAGCACCTCCCCAGGGACTGCAGGGCTGCCTGGGGCAGTGCCAGAGCTGCAGCTGGGCAGAGCCAGCACCCCTGGCCTTGAGGGACAGCGAGGAGTGGGCACTGTCCGCTGTGCAGTTGCAGTCTCACCCTGCCCTGGGAATAAATAGGGTGAGGAATGACAGAAGCTTTGGCTCCAGGGCTGGCTGCTCCACGCACAGCCAAGAGGTGACCTGGGTGTGTTAAACTCTGCCCTTGGGGACAAAAATTCAGCCCTGGAGGGGGCTGCAGTGAGGGTTTGTGCCCACTCAGAATCAGTTTCCTCTTGTGGTCTCGGATGATGGGACTAATTCTATCCCATTCTTGCTCGAGTTATCTCCAGTCATCTGCACAAGGAAATGAGCAGAAGCAGCAAATCCGGAGCCATCGGTGCTGGGAGCTGCCGTTACCCTGATGCAGGGCACGTGTTTTCCGGTGCGTTAGCAGCATCCTGTGCCGGTATGCTAATTCTTAACAGAACAGATTTAAAAATAGATCAACGGCTGTTAAACACAAAGGGAAGGCAGTGGCTGGTGATGCAGGACTGAGCTGGGTGTGCGGGGCAGATATCCTGTGCTGGGACAGGGAAGTGTGTGACTCACAGCAAGCGCTGCCCTGAGCTGAGTGCAGGGCCCGGAGAGCAGAGGGGTTGTTCTGAGGCCGGGCGGGGATCGCTGCTGCTTCCCCTGGAGCTGCCTGTGGGATGGAAAGGGCTCTGAGCCTTCGCCTTGCTGCGCTGCCAAGTGCTCCTGCTTCGTTTGAGAGATGGCACATTGGAAAGCTGTTTAAGTCAGTGTTTGTGTTTGATTTCAGCCCGAGGTAGACGAGCAAAGCAATTATAATGCAGAGGCACAACATGTCTATTACTGTGGTGCCAGACTGTCCTGTCTGTTTTTCTTTGGAAAGTAAAAAATCTCTGTTTTCACTTTGTAGCATCCCCTCCAGGTACTCACCTGGATGTGGAGCAGGTTTGCAGCCTGAGCACAGCCAGAGCCAGGGGTGTGGGTGAGATGCAGCGTGCCCTGTGCTGGGTGTGTTTGGGACGGATGCTGCAGTCCCTGTGCGAGCTCCGACAGTGCCCGTGTTCCTGCTGGGACTAAACCATCCCCCGCTGCAGGGTGCCGGGGTGGAACGGGAACCTCAGGGTCGCCTTCCCGGGATGCTGCAGGGAGGAATCTGCTGGGATGCCCGGCTGGTCTGAGGGGCAGAGCCGCGTGGGTCCGCGGCCAGCCCGCCTTCTCCTGGGGTGTTCAGCACAGGTGTGGCCCAGAAGGAGGGTCTGGGCAGCGAGAGGGCTGGGGGACAGCTGCAGGAGTGGGGGACACGCTGGTTTCCCTGGCAGGAGGCACGAGGAAGGAGTGCGTGCGGAGCCAGCACGGCTGCTCACAGCGTGCCTGCCCGGGGCTGGGGCTGCGGAGCGCTCCCAGCAGCCAGGAGAGCTGCAGGCAGGTGCCGGGCTTGGGGCGGCTCGTGTGGGACAGACGGGGCTGGGCAGCTGCAGGGCTTCAGGCAGAGAGCTTGGCTCTTCTGTGCACCCCGAGGCCCTTTGGGCCACTTTCTGCATCCTGTGTAATCGTTCCCACAAGAACAAGCTCCTGTCACTCTGCACTGGAGGCAAAAGAAATGTAGAGAGGGAGGAACTAGGGGAAACCCCCCCCTGAGCTTGCAGGAGGGACATTTCTGCTGCAAAAGATTTCCAAAACCACCTGAGCTGCCCTTGGCCTGCGTCTCCTGCCTCCCAGTATCTCCCAGTTCCTTAGCTGTCAGACTGGCTGTGGGAAGGGCTGAGTAGCTGAGCACTCCTGGGTGCAGAAAATGAGGGAATCACAAAACTGGAGAACTTGGGTAGGTGCTTCTGATTTTTTGTAGGAAAAGGATTCTGAGCTATGGCCACACGCACAATGCTCCTTTCCTCCCCACCCTGTAGACAGCACAGCATGGAGAGGCATTTTGTGTGCTGGCTGCTTGTTATTCAAGAAGTAATTACTCATTGCTTGGGTTAGAAACCAGGATGGGCTCATGTCTGTGAGAACAGCGGCTGCCAAACCTTCCGCTGGGAACGCAAAATGCACTTAAATAGTCCTTTTGCCCTGGCTTTGAAGTCTGTTCTTCTATTCAGGGCTGTCTCAGGAAGGTTTCAAACAGCTGAGCAGCACAGCAAGTGCAATAAAGTTTTCTTTGGGGTCTGTTAAGGAGGTTTTCCTGGTTCCTAATGATGGGAAGGCCTGCCAGGCGCTGCCTTAGACTGTTTCCTGGCTGCACTCCAAGTACTCATCCACTGGATTTGTGTTTACTGATGCATTTTCTGGGGCATCAAGGCAACGTCTACTTGGAGGGAGCTTTTTTTTGCAGTCAGAGGAAGCGTTTTTGCAGTCTCAGAGAGGACACAAACCCTCATGATTCACTTTCATGTCTTTTAGCATCCTGGGGATCAATTATGCTAACCCTGAGCCATCCACTGAGTCAGGATTGTTGGCTCCATGTCCTGGATTAGTCCTGGGTCCAGATATTTGCCTGATTCCCTGTTCCTCTGCCAGCCCGTGACTTGCTCTGTTACCAGCACACATGAGCTGGTTGCAAATGCCTGGTGGTAGGAAAAACCTCTCCTGGCTGCTCAGGGATGGGTCTGTGGGAGCATGTGTTGGTGTCCCGCTGCCAAACGGGGGGATGCTGGAGGTGACTCCCCTCTGCAGTTGTCACCTCTGTTCCAGGGCAGGGCTGGGGCAGGGGCAGGCAGGGGCAGATTTCCCTGGCACAAGCTCTTCATCACCCAGGCTGCTCTTCCCAGCCAGGTTTTCAAACCAGTTTGGTCCTTGGGAGAGCATTGGTTCTGTTCTGCTCTTGGAGGACCTGGCTGACTGTATCTCCCCAGAAAGGTGCTTGTGAGGGCTGCAGAGACCACGTGCTCCCTGATGGGTGCTGGGCATCCCAGCATCCTGTCTTGCCTTCTCCTGGGAGTCTGTGCGATTGTCCCTGGTTGAGGTTGCAGGAGAAACCGGAGATGTTTTCCTCTTGTGCCTTGGCACACCTGCACCACAAGCCTGGCTCTGGGTGCTTGGTGGCTGCAGCTTTCAGGGTGCCACAGTAGATAAAGGATCTTCTCCATCCCTTGATGTCAAAGAAAAGATTAAACAGTAAAAGGATTGAGGGGAAAGGATTGGAGTAATGGTGATTAAGTCATGGATCAGGATTTGTCACTGGAAGATGCTGACAGCGGTGTGGAGAGCCTGGTGTGACTGCAGCAGGATTTCTGCAGATGGAGAGGCAGCTTGTGTGGGGCAGCTTCTGCTGCCTGGTGCACATCCAGCCCTGCAGCCCCAGCGCTGGGTGACCCCCAGATCTCTCCTGCAGCCTGTTTCTGCTCCTTCACTGAGCACACCTTCCCATTCCCCTTCTCCCTGGGGCCTGCTGGTTCACATTTTGTGCTGCTGTCTCATGTTGTGCGTCCCTGAACTCTTCTCACTGATTTTTAGCTCTCTGCCCAAGTGGGCAGTGGCTCCCTGTCACCTGGCAGGAGGGAAGCTGAGTTGTGAGTCAGTGAATCCCCCATAAAATCCGACCCTGGAGCAGCTGTGAGGAGGAAACAGAAAGCCCTCTGCAAAGGAGTGCACTGCTGGTCAGGGTTTAACCATCTCCTTTTATCTTTGCAGAGCCAGGTGGCCATGGTGACCTGCTGGTAGGGGAAACCCACTGGGACAGCTCGCCTGGGAAGCACCCCAAAGATGAGGCTCAAGCAGAGATTGGAGCCCCTAAAGCCAGTTTGGATGCTAAAGGGGAAACTGAGCCAAACAACTTGCCCCTGATGCAGCCCTTGGCCGGGCTGGGCTGCAAGGCTGACCCTGCTCACGCTGCTGTGGAGGCAGCCCCCCTGCCCCATGCAGGCACAGCCACCTGGGAGCGGGCCATGCCAGGAGGGGACACTGGCACGGGGCTGCTGGAGACGAGGGCTGATGCCCTGGGCCAGGAGCAGCTCGGGAAAGGGAAAACACCTTCTCTGGGGAGGAGCACAGATGGAGCCACAGAAGAGACCCAGGCATCCTACCAGCTAGACCCTGAGCAGCATGGCAAGAGTGTGAACGCCTTTGTGGCAGGGGCCTGCCAGCTGCAGAGCTCTGCCCCAGCAGCCCCACAACGCCTTCCCCATCCCAAGCTGGGAGGGGACCCCGCTCTGGAGGCTCCAGGGCAGGTCCCCAAACTTGGGACTGATTGTACCGAGGCTAGAGAGAGTGTGGAGGCCAAGCCAGCTTCACCCAGGAGAGGCAGCAGGATCCCAGCCAGCAAGCTGACACCGAAGAGGCACAGAGAGTCCCCCAAGAAAGCAGCTGAGGATGTGGAGAGGGGTCCCACGGAGCTGCCCCCACCCCGGGGCTCCTCCCAGCTGGGTCCCACGGGCTGGGACAGCCCCGGCCTCAACTCTCTCAGTGGCAGCTCAGCGCTGCAGAATTCACCGGTTCTCCCCAAGGGCTCTTACCAGTTTGACCCCAATCACTTTGACTCCATGGATCCATTCAAGCCCACCAAGACACTTGCCAGCACCGACGCTGACTCTTGCTCCACTGCAGATAACAGCCTCAATGAAATCCTCGAATCTCAGACGCTGGAGATGCAGGACGATGCCCTGAAAGGCAGAGACTCCCCCCGGCAGCCCAAGTCACGCCTGATAACGTGAGTGCCAGTGTGTCAGAGCCGGGGCTGCAGCCCCCGCGCTCCCCGCGGCAGGCAGAGCTGCGCTGCTGCCGGAGGAGGTGATGGTGGCGGTGTTGGAGGTGGTGAAAAAGGTGGTGATGATGGTGGTGCTCCTGCCCTGGTGCCTCCTGAGCGGGCCCTAGATCCTGCTGTACACCTCAGGTTCTGCTGGTGGCTCAGTTTTATCCACCTGTCCTCTCTGCCTGTGAGCAGCCCTGGTGGGAGGAGAGGGGCAGGTTCTGGAGCAGTGCCAGTGTCCTGAGCCCAAGGGAAGGCTGGACTGGGACCTCCTTGCAGGATCACCTCTCTGGAAGCCCCTTGGGGGTCCGGTTGGTGGGTCAGGGTGTAGATGTGGTGTCAGAGGAAACCCTCAGGGGAGGCTGGAGCTGATGTATTTGGTGGACTTGTGCAGGAGCTGGTGGATACAAGTGTGGTTGGTCAAATGTAGTTGAGACATTTTGTGAGCTGTCACTGAGTTTCTGTTCTATGTCAGAGAAAGAGAACAGGTTGGACAGGTAGACTCTCACTCTGCTGTTGGATTCTCCAGTGAGAAAATTAGATAGTGGGTTTTAACAGTGAAAGAGAAAACGTTGCAGACAAAAATCAAGCTGTGTTGGATGTTTGTGTCCAGGAAATACTTTACAGAGAGTAGATAAAAAATGTGTAAGAGCTGGTGTTGCCTTGCGTGGCTGTGGGTGAGCAGAGGCGATGGGGAGGGGAAGCAGCAGGGAGTTCTCTGCTCGCTCTCGGTGGCCTTGGGGCAGCACATGCAGCAGAACACAGCCCTGGCAGTGAGGCCTGTGTTTGGATCTCACCCCGCTGCTGTGGCAGCAAGGGCACGATCGGTGTCCCGTGTGTGTGTGTGCCTTCCCCACGAGTGAGCTAGGCAGCTCACCGAGCCTCTCAGAGCAGAGTGAACATCCAGGTCTTTTCACACGCTCTTCTTCAGGTCTTTTCACACACTCTTCTCTCCATCTGTCTGTCTCTCTCCCTGTCCGTGCTTTGGTGCATCAGGACTACTGAGCAAGTGAAATTTCTCTGTTTTCTGTTGTAAGTACTCTCTGCTGTATTCCTTTTCCTTTGCTGTTTTTGTCCTCTCTCTGGGTGTGTGCTGCCCCACTCGTCTCCATGGCATGCTGGCTCCTTCTGCCCTTTGACCTGTGCTCTCTGCCCTCTGGTTTGTGTCCTGCAGCCCCTGGCGGGGTCCCCAGGGTGGCCTGGCCTGGAGAGTGCCTGGGAGTGAGGGAGGAGAGCTGGGCTGGGCTGAGCTGGGCTGGGCTGGGCTGGGCTGAGCTGAGCTGGGCTG